TAAATAAAACTTGTTCAATTAACTCGACATGTGCTATTGAGACTGGGTGTAAAATTAATATTGTAATACATGTGATTAATACTGTTTTATTTAAATAAACAGACTCAAGACTGATGCTGGGTTTTTTCTGAGACATATCGCGATAAATGATGCATAAAAATAAGAAAGTTATTAAAATGTGTTATTAGGAGAGTTCATTGGAGCTAACGTCATTTCATTGTATCTTCTTAAATATTGGACCTCCTTTTGAAAATGCGAGAGCTACGAAGTAAGACAAATTAATACTTTAATGTTTAATAAATTTTGTCGCAAACAAATTAAATATACCTTCTCAATCTCGTTTTGAAGATGTTCTTGTTTGGATTTTGGCGTTAATATTTCGGAAGATTTTGTGATTTCGAATTCCTGTAGGGCACCTATCAATTCTTGAATCTTTTTATTTATATTTCTGAAATTTAATTTCATATTTAAAAAGCTACATTTCGGGAAAATGATATTTTGATTTTCCCATGAAATATGCAGTATGCATTCTAGACTCACACTGGTGGAGCAAATTTGGATTTTCTCTGTTTCCGGTTATCCGAATAATTTCCCTAAATAAAAAAATCAATGAAAAATTTTGCTCTTATTAGTTATTTCTTACAATTTCAAAATAAAAGATGTGTATTTTTTGTACCGCTTTTTGTGGTCGTTTTTTAATCTCCGGGTAATCTTCTATATCAATCGCGAACGGAACGTCATCTGATGAACAATTATATTTTCAACTAAGTTATCATGTAAATTTCTTATTCCCTGCCGTGTTAAACATAAGTAGTATTTAATGTTACGTACCTTCGTTTCTCCTCGAAACTTTCTCCATACTTTTACTAAAACTACGTTTGTTACGTCTCCATTCTTTTACAGTATCTGCATCCCTGTATATTACATAATACAATTCACACGTACTGTTTATAATTAATGAGGGCGTAATCTTAGAAAATGTCTTACTTAATTCTCTGAATTGTCGCCGATTGTGCACTAAGCAGATCTCTCGCTTTAGAGATCCAGTACAAGCGTTGCTCCATCGCGAAGTTTGTTCCTTTACCGTCACATCTAATTAAGTAAAACAATCGATCGCTTATTTATTCCCTATAAACAGATTAAGCTATCTGGGATGGTAAGAAACTGTGCAAGTTCTAGTGGAATTAAATTTCTTTTGTGTACTCCCTATAATGAAATTTCTCGCAATATTTACAGACCGCCACATTTTATCTACTGATACCGAGATAATTCTCCAAACACAATAATATAGAACGCGGGTCTTTCAATTGCATGGGACGCAATCGCAATTTCCGCATGTCTTTCGTGACGATGTCAAAGACCAGATCCGCGTGTTGAGTGTCCCTACACTTCTTCCTCTCCTCGTTAAACGCGACGGGCTTGTCGGGCTTCGCGAGCGCTATGTGCCTCGTCTCGTTACTAATCGTCTTAATTCTGCATTCTCTTTCGCGATAATGCTTGTACGTTACCAAGCCCATCACGTTTCGTCTGACGTAACAGGACCTCGACGACGGCCCCGTTAGACGCAAAATGCCCGCGTCGACTTCGGTGATCTCCCTCTTAATGCAAGTTTTCCTCACGTCGTGGCAGCAAGTTATTATTTTCAAAAACGCATGCCGCTCATTGCTGCGTTTTTCATCCGACGTTTCGTCCACCTTATCGTCGCTCTCGTTTTCCTCTTGTTCGTTGACCTCGCGTTGAGCAGCAGCGAGCTTTTCGGCACATGACGCACAGAGAATATCGGCGTTATGCGTTACCTCGTCCATTGCATTTACCGAATTCTCCAAGATCGCGGTAATACGTGTACGATTATCGTACCTGTTACTGGCTCTGTAAGCCCTGGCTCTCTTCCTGACCGAAGCGCCTTTGAACGAATCGCCGATGTCGTTTGTACTCTTCAATTCCCGTCGTGGAATTTTTGATAACTTACGTCGCTTCTCACGAGGAGATTGATAACACAGAATGTTCGATGGCTTTGGTTCTATCTTTTCTGAAATAAATTTGGTTTATATTTCCGGTTGCTTTTACAAATTACATCAGGGTTAGATAATCGACTCAAGAGAACAGAGAAAATATTACACATAGAATACAGTTTGATGAAAATGCAATATATGAAGCGAAATATCGGAAATTTTACGTTCTACGAATGTCGCAGGCTCCTCCGGATGCAATTTATTCCATTCTGCTCGCAAATAGCTGAGAATACCCGAACAACCCAGAGCTATAACGCTTCTTGGAGGAGTAGCGATAGGATTGTCCGCCACGCTGAGAGTTTTCAGTTTCGGTACTAAGCCTGAAATGGTGTCTCTTAACTGTTACTTGGAAAGTATAAAGGAGGGTAAAAGGAAATTTTGCAGAATATCAGTGACACAGTTGAGAAAATTCATTGTTATCGTGATATATCACTTACAAAGTTCCAGTGGCAATGTCTCGATTTTATTTCCTTGCAACAAAATAGTCTCCAACGAAGGGTGCGATTTGATGCTTGCCGGCAAGCTGGTAAGTCGATTGTTTCGGACGTCTAACCATTGCAAACGTGGCAGAAGAAGAAAAAGCTCTTTTGGAAGTTCGAGCAGATCGTTATTCTCTAAATATAGCATCTGAGGAAGAATAAAACAAAGTTTTTATAACGATGATGTGATAAAGGTTGTCTTCGCCTTCTTTCCTTTTCTTCCACAACTTTTTTCACAAAATAAGAGAGAACTACTTTCTTATAATACATTACTTACTCGTATCGTAGGATATTTTTCGATCGTCTCAATAGGAAGAGTTACAAGTCCAGCGCTTGTTAAGTCTATAAAAATTTCGTTATATGTTGGAGTCTTGTTTGGTAGCGGCGTCAAAAACAAAGTATCTACATTTGAAGACTCTTTGAGCTTTTTCCTCCCTGCTATCGAGGAAACGTCTGAAACTTCTTCGCTAAGTGACAGATATGAGTCGTCCCCTTCGTTGTCTTCTAGACCTGTCCATAAATGAAAGATATGAGCGATATATAATTATTTATTTGTTATTATTATTCATTATGTTCTAATTTATTAATATTGTTACTTAACTTATTTAATAGAGAATGACATAATTTTAATGGTGTTTACCTAGAGTAGTAGAGATGATCGTGCTGTTATTTGCGGTAAAATCTTGTATCTTATTGCCGCAGGAAGCATTCGTATTTTCATAAAAATTGCCCGCTTTATTTGCTTCGAAAATAACGTCAAATTTTGACGTTGTTTCATTGTTATCCTCGAGCGCTTCCCATTGTAATGATCGCGAGGATCTCGCTGGAATATCAACCTCGGAATTTCTTTTCTCACTCTCAACATCGTCTTCCTATAAATTTACCGTAATTAACTGTCGTATTCCTTATTTGTCTCAGTTATAAACTAATATTGTCTCAGTTTATAAAATAATATTTCATAGTCATAAAAATAATATTTCAAATAAGGTACTTTTGTCTTGTAACCGATGCATCCCCCCCCCCCCCCCCCCCCC